TACTGAAATATAGTCAAACCCAGTTATTCCATGGATTCCCCTTTTTGGGAAATTTTTAGCAAAATGTTTCAAGAGAGCTCACGGCTGCGCAAAAAACACGCAGACTTTCAAATCAAAAGAAACTCATAATATTCAAAGTAACAGCATAAGTCATGCATGAACAGAAAGTGCTTGAAGAGTGCGTCCAGTTGACACTAGTTTCAAGTTTTTATCTTTCATGAAACAAGAAGTAAAAGTAGTGGATGGTTGCTAAATATCTTAATTGGAAAGAAATTTTACTGTCACTAAATTTTATTTTTTTAACATGATTTGGCTTTACCCCATATCTGCTATATTCACAATCCGTCGGTTCTTTAACAATGACGACTTCATCTGGATCATGTCCTAGTTTTCTAGACTGGGCTTTGTGCCGTAGATAACCATCGTATGGAAACGGCTAAACTCTTTTCTTTTAATGAGCTTCGCTCAATCTTCAAATCTTCTTTCACCGCCTCTTCTCGTCCGACATTAAGTTGGACTAGGAGTGGGGATGTACAGTATATATTTACCGATTCAATGAATGCAGGCTATTTGCCATATTAACCGACCCTGCAGGTTATTCGGGCAGTTTAAAATGAAATCACGTGTCATTTCTTGTGAGTACATGGATCCGTTTTAAACTTGCAACTTTGAGATACGTGATCCGCACTTAACCTGTTCCGAGCCAGAGCGCCGTGAAAAAGTAAATGTTAGAGCCTGTGGACTTAAAATGTCCAAATTCGACCTATTGAGACTGACGCAATAAAGGTCTCAGGAAAGACAGCAGAGAAAGTGTCGAATGTATCGGCCAGAATAGGCCTTCATGGGCACCGAGAGTGTAAATTGCAAGATCTTCACATGCTCTTAGTTAGCTTTCATGCTTGGGTTATTCCCAAGAGACGTTTGTGTTCAATACCTCTTTCAGTTGAGGTCATATTCAATGTGTTTTCCCCATGTAGTACCTCTGTTGGCACCTCCGACCGTCGATAACCTTGATCTTTTCATTAAAGAAAATCAGAGACAGAAAAACTGAAGCATTCGGATACTGTTTGATTCTTTCCTCGTTTGTCGTTAGTTTTCTCTCATATTGGTATACGTTAATGACTGATTGGTTCTTTTTCTTCTTCTTTTTTTTTTTACCTATTTCCACATTGGGAATTTTACAACTTGTTTGTTGGGCCCTCTCCATCGTCATTGTGATTTGAGAGTGTTTAATGAAAAATACAGGTTGTCCATAAATTATTGAAAGGGTTTCAAAAATGTATATCTTGAAAACTATTGTACAGCATATCACTCTAGGTCAAATGTACTACCGGGGGTTCTTCAACGTCCCACATTTAGAGATGGGAGTGTGAAGTGCTCAGAGGTCTCCCATCCCAAATGCTGGGGCCTGCAATATCGGAAAATAACTCCTGTTGATATCTAAACTCGGACTCTTGGCCGCCAGAACCAAGTATCAGATTAATTTTATTAACTCAAATGAATAATTGTGAAAATTTACCACGTGGATTGTCAAGTATCAGAATCTCTTGGTTTCCTCATAAATGAACTGTGACATGACTTGAAGCATTTATTTATTTTTAAGTTTATTTTTGTTTAGTTCATATTTTGGCAAAAGCGTGGCTTAACAGGGTACACGACAGACCGATTTCTCATGTTTTCGTCTCCTTGGTTTCTCCATGTAACTAAGCATAAACCTAAGTTTTTTTTATCAGAGAGAATTAGGTTAAGTTTGGACCTAGTTGCTTTGACAAAGGAGATCCCAACATTTAGCGTATTACATGATTATATGCCAGATTCCTGCTTCTGGCAGGTGACAAATGGAGATGGGATGATGAGACTATACTTGACTATGCGAACTGGGGAAAAGGAGAGCCAAATGGACACGGGGGTGGGGAAGATTGTGGAGAAATGCTTCCTGATGGATTTTGGAACGATGCCAACTGTCATTCACCGCGTGGATATCTCTGCAAGGTTTCCTCACGTCCAGGTATGTCTATGTTCTTGGGTAACTGTTGTTACTGAAGGACATAGAAATACCTTGAGGTGATGAAAATTGTTGGAATGGTGACTAGGAGAGGTACAGACCACACGTGACCCTGGAGAGACAGGGACCACAAGTAGTCTTGGAGAGACAGGGACCACACGCGACCCTGGAGAGACAGAGGCCACAAGTGGCCCTGGAGAATCGATCCGGTGCTCGGGCTCAGGATGGGTGGGGTTTGGAGATTCCTGCTACCTAGCCCAGCCGAACCTTAAAGTCAACTTCACTGATGCCGTCAATGAGTACGTGTCGATCATTGTGAGTAGAAGCAGTCAGAGGACATTGCATGACGCAACGTGACGTTATCATCGTGTCAGGTGTAAGACGAGTGGGGGCCATCTGACAAGCATTCACTCGCCACAGGAGAATGCATTTGTATGGGGTCTCCTCAATGGGACGATTGATGAGCATGTTTGGATCGGACTGAAGCTCTTCCCGCATGGCATGTCTTTTCCTTAGTAGCACAATGATGCTTAATAATAGATTGAAGACAGGGAAGATTGATTCTTGGTGCTTGTAATTGACAGTGAGATTGGCGTTGGCATGTCAGGATAAATGACAAACCAATATATCTTGTGTTCATACGTTTGTTTTCGCCATGCAACCAACCATGGACTTGAGCTTTGCTCAGAGAACCATATCATTAGGACAAGAGCCGTAAGCCTTAGTTCCTAAGATCGTCCCGAGATGGCGCGGAAGTACCTTGGGGTTATGCTTAAAATTATTGTAAATGAGAGAATTTTAAACCTTCTTGGGAATGAATTTATGAAAGTAAACCAAAATATGTTTTTATTAGTTTAATGCTTAGTGTGGTAATTGTCTTAGTTGTCGTATATTCAACCGTTAGGTGGCACCACTGAATAGATTATGTTAATCATGTGAACTGCATGCCCCAGAAGTTTTGAATCGCGTGTATCCAGGCTGAAGAGTTCGCAAGTCACAGACGTCCGCTGCTGTGGACGTTGATGCCCGGGAGGGTTAAAGTTAATCGAACAGATAGATTCATAATCCTGGCTAATCTGCGTGAAATAAGATTGATACGAATTAGAAACCGTTAAGGAACTGGGCAAGGGTAAGTAATTAGGGAAAGATGTAAAGAGTGTAGATAGTGAAGTACAATCTGCAGTTCCTGCCGAAAGATAAGAGTACTGCCCGCGACTACGCCAGAAGGACCAAAGCGAGAAGATTCTAATGGCCGCGTACTTACATTCCGTGTTAACTTACCTTAACCTCCCCTCTCTGGAATAAGGCTCGAAGGCAATCCAATCTCGCCTCCGCCTTTTTCTCATATCTCCTGGCGACGTGTAACACCACTGACGTCTGTAGCGAGCGTGTCGTGCCGGCAATTCTTGACCGACCTCTGAAGGCTCTCGACTGAGTCTCCGTATCCCTTCGATGTCCCGCACTGACCAGTGAACCTTAGCTCCTTGACTACCACTTCGCCTTACCGACGTCACGCCTTTTCTCCTCCCCTCATTCCCCATAGTCGCAGAAATCCTCCGAGAGGAAATGACCTTTCCTACGGACTTCAGGGACATCCAGTCATTTATTCCTAAAGAGACTAGAATCGGAAAGGAAATACAAGAATTGCATGCTAACTTCTTCGTGAACTTTTCTGGACCCTTCCATCCGGACCCACGATGTCTCTGGCCCTACCCGAAAGGTCAATGATATTTCGTCCTAAAAAAAGTGATATAGAGGCCAAATGCAGGTGATAGTGATAACCTGGCACCTGAGGCAAAGTACTCTCCCGGTATACTTCACATCGTAAGAGTAAAACAGGGACACATCAAAAGGAGATAAAACGGGCAGCTTGACTCCGTAGCATTATTTTTAAACTTAGTTTCTTCGATGGAAGTATTGTTCTATGTCGTGTGCCTTCCCCTCACAGACGGCAGTTGGAGATGGGACGACGGGACAGGGTTTAAATATAACAACTGGAAAGTAGGAGAGCCGAATGGACACGGGGGTGGGGAAGACTGTGGAGAAATGCTTCCTGATGGTTACTGGAACGATGCCAACTGCTACTCGCCTCGTGGATATCTCTGCAAGGCTCCGCAGCTTCAAGGTTCGTCTATGCTCTTTTTGGGTAACTGTTGCCGAAAGACTTAGGTTTCTCTTGAGGTAACGCTGGATTTGTTGGTGTGGTGACTAAATGAGGTAGAGGTCACGACTGCCCCCGAAGAGTCAAATGAATGTCCGGACTCAAGTTGGAAGGTGTTTGGGGATTCCTGCTATTTGCCCAAGCCAAATATCCCAGTCTCTTTAACCGATGCTGTCGACAAGTAGGTGCCAATTAGTGGGAGTGAATGGAAGAAGCAGTCTCAGAAATTTCGTTGGATGTGATGTGCTATAATGGTATCAGGTGTGAGGTGTTTGGGGGTCATCTGGCCATAATTCACGATGATGAGGAGAATACGTTCATATGGAAACTCATCGAAGAGGTCAAGGATGGGAATATCTGGATCGGACTCCGGTGGCTCAAGGGCAAGTCTCACCTTTCCACTCTTTACAGAGCAAGTCAACCGGGGGGGGGGGGGGGGGGGGGGGAATTATTAAATCCACTAATTGGCACCTACTTGTCGACAGCATCGGTTAAAGAGACTGGGATATTTGGCTTGGGCAAATAGCAGGAATCCCCAAACACCTTCCAACTTGAGTCCGGACATTCATTTGACTCTTCGGGGGGGGTAGGAAAATTATTTAACTCGTTTTAACAATTCTGCTGATTTATGATGCAAGAATGCTTCAGGTCAAAAGGCACAAATCTTGTGGAAAACAGGAGAGGAGAAATAAACGGGTCATGAAGACGCCTGCACGCAATTCGATTTTCGGTCGAACAAGAATTGGATCAAGTATGGCGGCCTTAGCACTCCCCATTACGTAAAGGATTTCATGATGCTGTCATAGGAAATTTTCGAAATATCCCATTTTCAACATGTCAAGTATCATCATAAATACTCAGTACCTCCCTCGATGGACTGGAATATGACTTATCAGTTTTAAAATCTTTTTGTTGCGGAGGGGGGATTTATGTCTTTGGCAAAGAGCGAGTGAGGATCGTAAAACACCAACTTTTCATATATCCATCTTCTTGATTTCCCAATTCAACCACCTCTTGAACTTAGTTTTCAGAGAGAATAAGATCAAGTTTTGATCTATTTACCTTGACGGATTCACTCCATGTATTTATGTCCATCTCGAATTCCCGGCTCTCTTCAGATACCAATTGGACATGGCACGATGGAACGGAGGCAAGCTATTCTCACTGGGGAACAGGCGAGCCGAATGGACACGGGGGTGGGGAAATTTGCGCGGAAATGGTGACTACTGGATTTTGGAACGATGTCAACTGCGAGGAGCCTCCCCGTGGATACCTCTGCGAGGTTCTCCTAACCCGAGGTATGTGTGTTTGCTTGGGAAGCTGTTGCCATCTCATTTCTTGATTCATCGATTTCCGTGCTCTGATAACTTTATCATGATTCGTGCCAGGCAGTGATTCTGACTGTAATGCGTGGAAGTATGTAGTCAGGTGATGTTCTATATTCAGAACTGAAAGTTTGGGCCACATGAACTTCATCGGTGTTTGCTGCATTGAAACAAAAAGATGTACCAGGTGCCCCAAAAAATGTTGCATTTTAATAATCTTCATTAATATATTGTAAACAAACTGTATTTAGCACAAACATATACCGAATTAACCCTCAGAGAAAAATTGAATTCTCCGCATGGTGCCCACCAACTTGGTTGCACCGCAAGATACGATGTGCCATGTGTTCGAAAGGGTGGTGGCCAAAAGCCATTCCTGAAATGAAGTTTTTTTTTTTCAAGATGAAATTTATTTTTGGGGCACCTGGTATTAAGTTTGCAGAGTCGCAAATGACGTTCACAGATTCATAAATTAATGCGCGACCTGTCGCGTCAAACTAAGAATTTAGTTGATTATGTCAAATGGCATGTATGGCTAAAAGTCAAAGATCTGGACTCAGAACAAATTAATTCTGACCTGACGACATGGCGACATCATTACTGTTAATTATGTTCCCGTCAAATTTTCTTGCATGCGTAAGTCGACTTCTTGGGAGATCAATAATAGGATAGAACAACAGGGAACGCTCTTAACCTGGCACTTGAAGAAAAAGAGATGAAAGCAATCAATAGTAGGATTTTTTACATGCTGGGTATGGATTTGATAAGTGGCATGGAGTCTGCGACTTCCTCAAGTCTGTAAGCTTGGGCTTGATAGTTTTTTTTTTGTTTAATCTGACGGGGGAGATAGGACGTGAAATGCATATTACAGGATTTGAGTCCAGGTTGCATTACGGTTTCACATGTAGGTCCTGTAAGTCAGAGGATAAAGGCAAAATTGACAAACTGAGCAATAAAGTTTGCAATTTGAGATTCAATTTTTTCCATAACCAAACACTTCGGAAGCAAATTCTTTTCTCCCGCCGACTGTCAGGATTAAAATAATCCAAAAATCCATCCAAGTTCATCTCAAACATTTTTTTTCCTTAAAGAAACGAAAATGGTGAGAAAGGAGGGATGTCAGGGGCTGCCATCTTCGGAATAGTGATTGCTACTTTCATCGCGGTGGGCATCGCCGTCTTCCTCCTCCACGCTGCTCTCTTCCGACCCAAGAGAATGCTTGCCATCAAGCGAAAACTTGGCTTTGCCAAAGCCAGTAACAATGATGAACGATATTACTTGAACCTATGAGTCATACGTACCTTGTTATGCGTTTTTTTTTCCTTTTGATTGTGACTGTGATCTCGATCAATTAGCCAGATCCGGTGATGTGATCTCCCCTACCATTAAACGTTGGGAGCCCCTCGAGTTATATATTTTGTTGTTGCAATAATTCCAATAAAAGACAATACATGTGGGAACCAAAAGCCGTCTCGTGGTGACATGCAGCAGATCGGTTAAACATAAACTAGCCTGATTTCATAATGGTCTCCTATGGGAATCGGAGATAATCTTATTCCCTTAGACGCCTGAAATGACTCATTATTATAGTCAGATCCGTTTAAAGTTAAACGAATCTGCTACATGTCACCCCTTGTCCTTCCTCTGGAGGTGTGTTGGCTCCTATGGCATTGCTTTTTATTCGCTAACAGGTACTGCAGAAACTAAAGACGAAAATTTTTTTTAAAGTACATGGACCAATTCGACATACTGTATTTTCTTCGTTGGCTTGTTTGTTGTTGCCTGGTAGGGATACATCCCTCTTGATTAGCTGTCAGGTTACCATCATACCATGCGTAGCGAGAAAGTTATTTCTAAACAGAAAACTAGAGAAAATGGACAGAATGGTAGACCTGAACACTTGGACCATTTTGACAGATCAGGTGTGAGAGGACCAGAAACCCTGGTCTGGGAGTGAGCGCTGGTTTCTTCATCGAGAAGTACGTTTTTAACTTCTGATCAGAGGCATGTAGGAGGATTCCATTGCTTCATTGCGATTAGGAGACAGAAATCCTCAAGCGATCAAGTAGATTCTGACTAGACTCGAACAAGATCTCAGAATACCACATTTTGACGAGGTCAACCTTTTTAGTAAAAATAACTCTAACCCATTTGTGAGTACGGCCCTCAGGAAGGTGATGATCTTCCTCTCCCTTCATATCCTCCAGGGGAATCGCAAGAATCGGCAAGAATTGTGGGATTCTCTTGGGCATTTGTGCCCATGCAACCATTTCCATATCTATGTTCATGCGCTGCTTTAGGACACTCGCAATAGGATAGACTGGTCTTGAGATGATTCAGATGTTCTTGCTGCAAGGGAGATGGGTAGAGCGTTAATTTCCTCGAACTACCCATTCTCATCTAATCTATGCCAAAGGGGGGGGGGGGGGGGAAATTGTTCTGTTTCTGAGTGTTTAGGCCCGAATGCTGAAACGCCCTTTAGTTAACGGTCATTTAAGAATTAATGGACTCCAATGGAGAAAAAGAGTTGTGCATTTGGGCGAGTGTCAAGAGAAATGCTCCCGTATTCTCAAACCATTCCTACTCCCTGGAGTTCCCTTTCCTTCGTTTCCGAGGCCTTATCTTACCAGATCTTCACCCTGAGGAGTATTGGGCCATGGGTCAAATACAGGGCTTAGGATGCCGATGAGTTCCTTGCATGTAAGTGTTCGCTCTTTCGACTCCATTGAGTGAGGAAAATAGTGAAACTGCTATTAGCTTTGCGTTAGAGCACTGCATGAGACGTGACATCCCGTGACAGAACTTAGTCTGTCACAGGACGGGACGGGACTAGGGTTGCCACCCGTTCATAATTAGTAAGGACAGTACATATTTCAAATGCATAATTCATTTTGAAAACTGAACGCAAGGACACTGTTTTATCCATATTTTAAACTTGAGATTTTATTACTTAATAAAGCTGAATAGCTAATATCGTTATTTTCCATAAGTCAAACGCAGTAGGCCACGCTCATAGTATTGATTGGCGCCTTGGCTTAAGGTGACCGTGGGTATATTTCAAATAATTGTCCATATTTTGTTCAATTCAAGGGTGGCAACCCTAGACGGGATTAAGAATTTCATGTGTGAATAACTAGTATCTTCGTGAAAGTGTGGAAAAAGCATGCGTTGGGAGTCTATTCCTCCAACCCACCTTAGCGCATCTTTGGTCCTATTAACCTCCCTTGACGTGAATTTCCTCCTTCTACCCCTTACCTCTCCTTCTGAAACCGCTGCCTTGCCTGGTAATGCCTTGTGGCCTCCTGGAAGATTTAGTCGTTTACTGGCACCCCAGCCCTGGCTGAAGACTTAACATGCGCACTGAGTCTACAGTTACTGAGTCTACAGTTTCCATATCAACCGGACACTGTAGACAGGCGGTATGAAAAAAAGGAGGGGAAGGCGGAAGTGACAGACCGATCGCGATATCTACCATTTTCCCATTGTACCGATGGGAAAGAAAGATGGAATTAGGTTCGTGAGAAGAGGAGGAAAACACATCGAGGACAGGCGCTTCCAGAAAAGTCGTCGGTCCAAATGTCAGTGTTCCCGAGGAGATACGTTTCTCACGTCTCTTTTATCACTCAGTCTAAATTCCGCCACCCTCGAGCAAGACACAAACGTACGCGTACAGATCTTTATTCTCAGGTGAGAAGCAAAACGAAGGGAGGCACGGCGTGTGTCGGCGTCAACGCGCGAAAGAGAGCGCTTCACAGACGCTTCACAGACGCTTCCCATCCCCAGGAGAGACGATCGCACGCTTCCACTTCGGGCAGAGACTGCGAAGCGCGAAGAGGAGGAAGAAGAGGGACTCTAGGATCTCCACGCAATTCACGATGGAGAGGCCGAGGTAGACTCCCATTGCCCCTCCGATCGTGCTCACCAGGCTCTTAAACTAATTTAAAAGCATGAGCATAAACAAATCAGATCGATGCGGAGATGGTCTTTAAAACTATCAGAAGGCGTGACGTTAAGGACTAATCTCTTGTCCCACCACAAGTTATACGAGGGTAATTAAACATCTAGAACGATAACGAGGAAAGTTACAGTAGATTTCAAATAATAATAATAATAATAATAAAAACAACGAAGATGCGGGATATAAACGGTCTTTGAAGGATTATGAACATAGTACATGCTTCCTAAAACCATCCGCCGAGGGCATTCGTAATGCACTCAAGGTAAAGTTGAGATCTTTTTGGCTAGGCTTAGGTCTACTTTTGCATTAAACCTGACAGTCTCCATATTCGCGGCTGCTTTATTCGACGTGCGAAGTCGAGTAACGTAATTTCTTGAATTAATTAAATTTCCGGCTTCGATTTCTCGCTGCATTCAAGGACTGTTTCAATTCATGTCTTTCATACGATCATGGTTCAGGTTCAATTCGTCGCTGTCAATATTAGTGTTAATAGTGTGGCTCCTTAAAACCTTCTCAATAACTTACTAGTGCTCGACTAAAAGAGCACCAAGGGTCTTCCTTTCATCTTCATTTCTCTTCGTGTCGTCTTAATGCTTCGTCATGAAAAGATCAATGGGTTCTTAGTCATGAACCTTATGTTAGTTATGAACTTACATGAACCTGGCAAGGTGCCTTAAATGCTATCCTTTCCTGTTCCAATTCAGGAGCACACTGGGGCACTACAGAATCTCACGTAATTCACGTCGTTCCAAATAATACTAAGCAGACACATCGAACCGAAGCTCGAAACTCCAGGACTCAGTCGATTCCTCACGTCGTATCTCGGATGCTGGGCCACAGAGTGCAGGTCCAGGGTCTGAAACGAGACGTCGAGGCGGAGGAATTCCTCCCGGATCCTCTGCCGGACGACCTCCGTCAGCAGACCCGAGAGGGGGGAGCTGGGAGGGGGGAGGTCGGGGAGGTCCGTGGTCAGGTGCCGCTCCATCACCTTCCGCGCGTAGCGGCGCTGGGGGAGACATCGAGGGAAGTACGCACTTTTAGTTTTCTTTTTATAATCTCTTGAGGACGGATGACGTTCATGATCGCAAATTTTCCCAAACTGAAACACGTTAGTATGATTGCAGTTCGGCAAACAATGGGGATGCCCCTAAGGCTTAGTTAAGAATTACCATGTAAAATTGCACTACTAGTTGAATACAATCCACATCTCAAAAATGTGTGGTTTTTTTTGTCAAATTAGTCCCTTCGAAGGCCAATTTGGCCAAAATTAATCCCGTCCCCAAGTGGTTAAGGAGGGTTTTCAGTTTGGGGAGATGAGGATTTTGTAGGGGAGAGGAATGTTTTTCTTTTCTTTCTTTCTCAAGGGTGGATTTCTGTGCAAAGACGGTTTTATAGGTTTCATAGAAACGACATGGAATCATCGAAAATCGAATGCTCGGTTTCGTCACATCGATAACAATTACCATGTATTTGGTCGAGGGCCAAGTGGCTATGGACGTGGTGATGCGGTACGACTTGGACCTGTGGATAAAAGCAGGCTTCGTTAGGCTCTTCATAGGCTGAGATGGATCGTGTGAGAAACGAAAGGTGTTAAAGAGCATCTTTACACGAGCTGCGAAGTGCTCCAAATTAAATGTATAATTAAGACAACATGCATAGAAAACGAAAGGAAAAAAAAATACAGTTAAGCCGTGTCGTCTCTTCGCGATGCCCTTAAAATTTACTTAATTCTGCATTCACTTCTCTACGGAATCAGGATGGCTTCCAACATCTAAGCACTCGATTTTTGAGGACTCTCCTTAGCACGTACAGGCAAGAAGCGTGGCAGTGGCAGATGGACATGTCCTGCTGGTCACTTCCTCCTTCGCATCTTTCCCCTTCCTCGTCTGCACAGATTCCCATCCCATATGATGTCCCTCCCTCCCCCGATAGGAAAAGAGAAAGGAAAATCTGGAGGTTCGAGAAGGGAATACCAAGGTGCGTGATGTTGCAGATCGCCTGCTTCCTGAAGCCAGCGTAGGACTCCCCGCGATAGAGAAACTCGTCCGACTCGGAACGAAGCGGACGGCACCCGCACGCGGACGACACCCTCACCGATGAGCACATCCGGTTGCATTGCTGAAAGACATCGACACCTCATCGCTGACGATCTCATCGGTTCCCAACACGACCGAGTGGAACGACCAGACGAATCTCACGACGAGGTCGTAGTCCGGCGTCACGTTGTTGGGTCGCCGGTTTCCCCGGTAGAAGGGCAGGAAATCCGTTTCGTTCCACGATCCGATGCACTCGTCTCGATACGGACTTGGCAGCCGGACTATCTCTGACTGACAGTATGAGAACAAGAAGGAATTCCTTCCAGCAGCTCTTCTGGCCCAGCTAAACGCGAAAACTGAAGAAACACCTCGCAACTATTTACGAGGTAAAAAGTCTGATCTTTTAAAGTGCAAGAAATAGTCTTGGGAATAGAAAAGGTAAGCATTCCACTTTCGTCTCTCCCCTCTATCCAACCGCTTGAGTGCAATATATCGGATTTTTCAGTTAAAACATTCACTTGAACTTGAAGGGAAAGGATTCAGGCTCAGATGTGTAAAACATAAGGGTATCTTAAGCTTAAAGCATGCTTATCAAGGAGCCTGTTAATTGTCGGTGCTAAATTTTAATATGAATATAATCTGAAAGCAGTCGAAAACGAAGGATGTTCCTCTTCGGTGCTAATGGTGCATTTTGATCATAACTTAATCAAATAATGGTCTGCAAGAAAGGAGAGTCCCAAAATAGATGTAAATACGTACTTCATATTTGAAGGGTCGAAAGGCAAAGTGGTCTAGGGTCGAAAGGCAAAGTGGTCTATCTGCAAAAAATTATTTCCGAGAGCTCCACGCGAAAAAAGTGGTAAGTATCGATAGATCACTTCATCCTTAACTTAATTCCAAAAACTATAATTTTCTATGAAAGGAGCAAGGTCTTATAAGCCCAAAACTAGCGACGCTTTTTTCAGACATTTTTTGCAGATAGACCACTTTACTTTCAGCCCTTCTTTTAAATCTACATTCAGAGTAAATCTCAGATTTAGATATTAAATTAAACGTTCGGCAAATTCTGGGAGGAGGCCCAAAATCCCTCCCAAAAAAAAGAAGAGAAGAGAGTTAGAGACAGAAGCGAGAGCGAAGGAAGTCCTTGTGTTCGGCTGGAGGTCCAGTCCGGCCTCGATGGGATTGGGGAAGGCGCGAGGAGGGTGGAGGGCCACGCGGGCGCCTGCGCTCTGCACCATCACCGAGTCCAGGTGATCCTCCTGATTCAGGTATAGCTCCAGCACCAGACCTGCGATTGTCGCGTACGTCAGACGAGATTTTAAAAGAGTTTCCGGGGGATGCATCGATGCGGAGACCATCGTCGCCGGCCACGGTGGCTCGCCGTTTCCCGGCCAGAGGATCGTGCTGGTTGAAGGCACTGTTGAACGCGTAACACGCCCCCAAGTACGATGCCCTGAACTGCAGGAAGTTCCTGGACGAAGCATTCGATTTGTAGACACATTGGGCAGCGAATTAACGAAAAAAAAAGAAAACGGAGTCGAGACGGACTTTTCGGAGTAGCAATTTTGCCCCTTAAAGCTGCAGTCTATGATGAGGTGATTCCAGCGATGCACCACCAACTCCTGGATCTTCTCCGGGATCCCCAAGAATTCCACCATGAAATCCCGTTTCTAAAAAAAAAATTCCTTGCGATACTCTAACCCTCGTCGTCGCTATTGGAGGGGGTGGGGGGGAACGAGAGGGACCTGATTGAACTCGCTGGACGCTTCGACGCTCCAGTTCTCAAACATCCCGGGGAGGTCCAGATGTCTTGGCTCCGAAGTTAAGAGGTTCTCTAACTGGGTCCATCGTTTCTCTTTTCCCGCCTATTCGGCATGGAAAATTTCTTCATCACTCTTGATAACAATTTTTCATGCACACAATATTAACTAAGATCCATCATGGAATGTAATCGGTCTACTCCGTAGGCATTTCTGATATTAGGTCTAATTTTAGTCGATTTCTTACTTTCACTGCTACCAAATATCGACTTTCCTGAGCGTGCTTACCTCTGGGAAGGGAAAAAACGGCGGAGGAGGTAGAAGATCCTTGAATTTCTCCGTGGCCGTAGGACCTTGAGGAACGAGAAATCCCACCTTTACTCGACATTCTCAAAGAAGCTTCTCAGATGCAGTTTGAAACGCATGGATTAGCGAGGAAAGCATTGCAAAAACCTTATTTTGCCATGCACGAATGCGTTCAAGAGCGTCATGCGCGTTCTCAACTTACAGCAAGATTTTCATTATTGATTGGATTGTGGGGGAAGATTTCGACTCTTCTTGGTCCCGAAAATATCTTTATTTGATGACGATGTATATTCCTAATAGAAGAATACATCGTAGAAGACCGCAGCACAAACGAAAAAAAATTCCACAATTCTCGCTGAGGAATAAAATCATGACACCAGAAATTCTCAGTTTTTCTTTTTTTGTTTTCACCAAGAACGACGCCAGCAATCGGATTTTGACTCATTCCTAATACTCATTCGGGCTCTGGGAATTAATGACGAGATAAATGCGACACAGATCACGTGATCTCTACCAGGTAAAGCCATACTTCCAACGTTTCTTCTCCGAATCTCACTGATAAAGCGTGATCATGAAAGTCTCATCAGCCGGAGCGGGACATCGCTGTCTTAATGCAGTCGGTCGATGGACCACCCAACCATCGAGCATTCATTATTTACAAAAGCTGACTCACCAGGAGACCCGAGAGATAAGAGAACCGTTAAGTTCCCCGATAAGAATTCACCCGAGAGTAGGGAAAAGAGGGCATCGATAAGACCAAGGTCTCCCTGAACCAGATCCCACAGGGAGGAGCTGGATTTAGGTAAGAAGTAGGACTCGTTCCGGATCCCGATCTGATAGAAGACCTCGTTGAGAGTCCCCTCCTTTTCCTTCTCCGCTCGAAAACTATCAGCCAAGAGAAAGCAGATACGCGCAGGCTGACTCCTTCATGCTTGCCACCAGGGCCGGATTAAGAAGTTGCGAGGCCCGGGGCAAGTGAATTCCTGCCCCCCCCCCCCCCCCCCCCTCTACTTTACGCAAATACAATACTTTTTTAACTTAACGTTTTTAATATCCTTCGGGGGCCCCTGGAAGAGTGGCGCCCGGGGTAACTGCCCCCCTTTGCTCCCCCCCTCCCCCTTAATCCGGCCATGCTTGCCACGGTTCAAACGGATCAGAATAATTCACTTGAATCGGACTATGAAACATCTCGAAATGCACCTGAGCAAAGCCTGACGAAGAAGGCCGAGGTCGGCGTTGGGACGTTTCCGGACCCAGTCCAACAGCCCCCGGTCCAACCGCACCCGGCACCCGCTCAGCCGCCACAGCCGCGGGTACTCCGACCGGAACTTGGCGAGGCGGTAGCAGTCGACGGGGCTGCTGTTGCAGACGGTGACGGCGGGGAACTCCAGGCTCGGCTCTGGGCTCACGCTCACCGTCGTCACGATCGGGTAGCTCAGGTAGTCGCTCGCGATTCCCCACACCGAGAGCGTCGTCAGGGTCATCCCCGACACGAAAAGCGAGAACCAAAGCTAGATCGTGGAAACCATTTGAAATAGACCAAAGTAGGCAAGGCGAGCCAGCAAAATTAGTGGAATTGAAATCGGTACTAAAATATTTCACAGACAAGTTTTCGTAGAGGATTCTGATATCGGACGGCGTGCAAGAGTCCATTAATGGTGGTTTCCTCGGCACATCGAAGCCACGTGTTGTTGAACGAAGAGCACGGCGTCTCATTCTCTTCCTCTCCTCGGCCGGCCATAACATCACGCTCAAACAGGAACTCGTTCCCAGGAAAAAAACTTCTCGGCATGAAATAACCCGAAGAAGCCGGAAGGTCCGGTTTCGTATTTCGTGACGTCGACGGTGTCACCTGTGAGGTCGACGGTGTCACCTGTGAGGTCGACGGTGTCACCTGTGAGGTCGACGGTGTCACCTGTGCGATCTCGACGCTTCGTCCAACTGATAGATACTCCTCTAAAAGTGACCTGTAGCTTCGCCCACGAACTACTAGGAACCCCTTCATCTATTATGAATCAGTTGACCCCGATGGACGTACCCCAATCAATGGACGCGATGATCTGTGTTTCGTTTGTTCAAAGGGAGCCTTCGTACGACGCACCGACCCCGCCCCCCTCCCCCGTCCTCCCGTGGGAGACTCTCCGAACCTCTCAGTCCATGCATTATGAATTCTTTAATGACGAGCTGCACGACACACGCACTCTTATGTATACCGATAATGAAACTCTCCTCTGCACACGGAGGGCCCCCACCTCACAAAATGAAAATGACACTATCGATGTCGACCGATCAGACACTCGGCGCAAACGACATCATCCACTTCATAGCTTCCATGGAGACATTTTGAACGTGATGGGGATGTCTCATTGCTCGTACCGTATTAAATGAAATGTCTCATATTCACCGGACATTTCAATGTCCAATTCACAGTGAGGTTGGTCTGCAACCCAGCTTCACCCAGTCGGATTTCATCGGTAAGAAGGACGTGACGACCCAAGAGAACCAAAATGGAAGACTTCATGTCCTTGTACCTCAGGCCTGGCTGATTTTTCCCGTGTTCTGGAACTTTTTCACTGGCCAGGTTCGAACCGGATAGTGTGAATCATTCAGTGGATCTACGACGACTTCCGGCACAGTTTTTCAACAAACTTGAAATAATCCAAAATTTTCCTTCATGGAATACCTGGAATGACACGATCTTGAGTGTAGCAACAGGTTTTCGAAGGGTTCAAAATGGAAGATAAAGATGTGAGTTGCACTCCAAGATTCCTGGACTCCTCGCAATCAACTGCATTTTTCGAAAGTGAACATCTTTTTGGATTTTGGCACTTTGATTCTACTGTTTATAGCAGCTCTCATCAAAAGAGGCAAGCTTGAGAAGCGAATCACCAAAGCAAAAGGAATTCCAGCAGCACATATTCAAAATGGGGCAGTTTAAAGCAAGTTAGGCCTAGGCCTATATTAGTTCTGCCAGCATATGCAACAAAACATGCTAACGTAAGGTTTTACTTTAGGCCTATGAGCAGCCCTTGCAATTGGGCTCCTTATTTTTCCATTTAAAATGTATTCATATATTTGGGGTGTTTGAGAAGTGGATTTTAGACGCAAAGAAAATGTTTCATTTTTCCTGCCAAGTCCTAGCCAAAGTCCTATCATTAAAAATTCCGCCACACCTAAGGTTAGACCCCGCAAAAGTGTCAATAGTAATCAAACCCGATTCATCATTGTAAGACGTGATACCCAGCCCAGTCAGTGGTCTTTCATAGCATCCGAATCCTGAACACATTGACCATGACTACCGTGCGCCTCAGTGAATCCCAGGTCTCATCGTCTCCTTGATGCCATCAGTAATGGCCGCCAGCGCTTCAAATCGGCGCGAGATCTTCGACCGCCATGTCCAGTCTAGGTATATTTACCATGTCCCTGTCCTCGACCCTGCGTGATTCGACGAACTGCCAAGAGATGGCGGTGACCAGCCCATCTCAGCGTCCTTGGGTGAGCTTCCCATTGCCGGCCCTGCGTTTTCCCTGGACGTTGGGCAAGTGCCATCGATGTTCTGCCGGCCCACCAGCTCGTAATGCCGCTCTGTCGCACTCGCGACGATCCCGCTCGTCACGACAGAGGCGGAAAGAAGCGTGCTGCTTGGGATGTGGTTCGTGAAAGTCGGAATTGGCTTGCAATCGGCCGAACGTTCCATTCCTCACCGAGGTATCTCGAACTTGAGAGATCGACCTTTACCTAGGTATAGGCCTAATTGGCCCCAATAATCCAGGGTTGAGATTCTTTTGGAGGAAAAAGGTAGGCACAGGCCCAACCTGAAGACAGTCCGTGAGTCAGGTCTAATCTTAACGTTAGTGAGTCCCATAGAGAGAAGGGGGAGAGGGTCGAAGAGCGGAGAGAAAGCCTTAGAAAAATGGTTTTCACTGTACTTCATGACCTGGTCATCGTGGAAAGCGGCAAGCGGGTAGATGTGGACAAAGATATCGGCTAAGTACGGATTATAGCGAATTTACTCCGAAATTGACATTTATTATTGCGAAATTTGAATTAAAATTGGGTCAGGGCGGGAAAGGCACCAGCACCCCTGAAACCCAAAGGACGCTGACCACATCGCGCATGCGCGTCCGACCCAGTCCTTCCCGCGACTCGCCATTGCGAGATTCGTGTTGGTGGAGGACCGGACAGAGTTCGTTTTCTTCAAAGGTTTCGGTTACAGCGATCGCACACTATGGAAAAGAAAAAAGGTAACGATCCGGATTTCCGCGTGTGCGAAGCGATGGTGATAGGAACGAAAGCGCTTTACCTGAAGATAACACAAAACCGGTTTTGATAACCGGGTAGACCCCCTGCAACGCGGAGAGATCTAAACTTCAAAAAAAAGGTTCTTTCCGCCTTGTTTAAAGGTCTATTTCTAGAAAGTATGGTGTATTCATCTGGAGGGTGAATTGGCGTCTTCGCGGCCTGAAAAATATTTTCTGAAGAAGGAGATCTTTCGACTTTTAAGTTAATGCACCATTTCTCCGTCGAAAGATAAGAGAAAAAAAAAGTGGACTAAAGGATGAGGATTCACAAGTGCTCCGTCGCTTCTCGTGCCACCATGCAAGTCTGGGCTGGACTCATCCTCCTCCTTCCAGGTCAGAAGAACAAATACCGAGTCTTTTAAATGATTACTTTTAAATATTAGAATAATGAACGTTATTTTAACGAAAGTCGTATTTGTGCAGGGATCTTCGGAATTGCATGCCGAGACGGCGAGACGTGGAGGGTGGGAAAATCCCCCAACCTGTACTGGGAATGCCGTGACGGGAGACCCCACATTCGACGATGCGACCCAGGACTCCAATTCCATCAGCTGCTCAAGCGATCTTCCCATCTCCAGGGTTCATCGCAATGCGTTCACTCATATAGCGCTTTTGGTAAGCGGATTAATAAATATTAAAAAAAAACTGACAAAATAATGGAGATGTAGCAAAAGTAATTGAAAGGATTCCAAAGGAACAGAATTCAAATTTAAAGGACTGTCGTGAGGATTGTGCTCATCCATCTCCTATAAAGGGTTTTCATTAAAATCAGTAAATTATTGAACAATGTTTCTCGTTTGTGCCAAAGCAGAAAATTTCTCCCTCAGGAAACCGGCTGCGGAAATTCCTAGCTCATCATTTTTGCTCATCGCATTGGAAACGCCTCACAATTTGTTTTTATTTTATTTTAATTTCAAGGGTCTAAGTCGCCTGGAATAAAAGAGACAGTAGTTCGAAGTCCATTCATAAAATGTCACATTAATCACGCCCGATGAGAATGCAGACTTTTTAATGCAGTGTCTTCGTCATAGTATTCTTGCTAGCTGTCAGTTGATGGTAAGTTGTCAGTTTAATAAGGCCGACATTTCATGGTATGTTTAGTGTTTAAGGACTGGAGAGGGAAGAGAATATTGAGTTTCCCATCAAATCGTGGACTTCGTTCTCTTGAGTTTCTTTCCTCTCCAAACGTAACGTAAAAAGTCGTTGACCTGACCGCGAAAGTTGTTGTGCAAATAGAAATGAACGCTTTGGGGGGAAATTCATCCGTACACATACCATTAAATGTCGACCTTATTAAACTGACAAATTATTATCAACTGGCAACTAGAAATAATACTTTTAATAATTTTTTAATCGTGAATCTTAACTACGTTCGCTCACTGCGAGAAAGGCGTCAGCGGTCACGAGTCGATGAATCGATATTACCGACCAGAGCAGACAGTGCCATTCCAGCCTGCTTAGCTCATGGATCGATTGTTGACAAACAAAGTGAATCGATTGTTGACAAAAAGAGGGCCACACACGCGAGGGTTCATATCCAAATCCGTGAATAGGCACACCTAGGCTATATGCTAATGCTAATCCAATACGTTAAGCTCTACTTCCGGCCTCAAACTTTAACCTACTGGCCGCATGTTCCTCTTCCAAAGTGTCTTGTTTGTGCATGTCCATCTAGCTCGTCGTGAAATTCAGTTATGCTTTGATTGGGTCGCCCTATTCAACCCTACTGGCTAATGCCTTGAAGGGGGGTTGTCAAGATTTCGAACTGGCGCAATCAAACGACCCTTTGACGCAAATGTTGCATTCTAGTTAGATCTGATGCGTGGATTTGTGCCAACGGTGCATTGCCGCCTTAGGTATCAGCTCCATCACCCAGCGCCCCTTTTGCCAAATTTTACTTTTATTTGCTGAGTTTCAAACATTCTAGTCACCTTTTTTACACATTGTCAATTCATTTTAATTTTTATTTCGTCGTTTCATTAATGAAGTCTGAAGATTTAAGGTTCGTATGCCGGAATTCCAACCGATCGTGTTTCTTCGCTCCATAGATACGGGTACTTCGACAACGAAGAGAAGAATAACAGAAGATGCCACCGCGACGACGACGGACGGTTCGGAATGTCACGACCCGACGTGCGACTGCGGCCGGCCCGGGGAAGAATGCCTCCCTGGGGAAGGGAACACCATTCCTCATCCCTGCTGCTGCAATTACTATTACATCTGCCCCAACGAGTCCACGTTCTTGGTAAAAAAAAATATATTACATCAGTAATTATGCGCACGCAGACATACCACACACGTATTGCAGCCGCACAGTACAGCAGCATCTTCCCTAAATGAAGGTTTTCTTTCCCACATTTTCATGAAACCCTTGCTACTTCTTTTTGCAGCATTCTGACCGCGTTGCCGCGGTTCTTGCGTTTTCCTTTCTATTTTCCTAATTTCGACAAAGAAATTTCTTCACCGAAGGGCGAGTTACGCAAAAACGACTGCATTCTAGATTATGCGATTATCCGATTTTTCGTATTTGCAATAAACACCTTAATCGAGTAATTATATTATTAAAATAGAATTGCTTGCTCTGCTACATTATCATAATTTTGTTATACAAATATATATATATATATAGATGCGCGGATGTAAGGGTGAGGGTAATATAGTGGAATTTAATGGAACACCAATGCTGTTGACTTTTCCTTTCCATCCTGTTGTTTTCGCTGCGCAGAAAAACTATCTTTTCCTGCCATTCTTTACTTGGGCCATTACCGTTTCTTCAGACGAGATGAAATGCAAAACAATTTATTGCCTTTTTTTTAGCCTTGTAGTCCGGGCACGTGGTTCAACCCAACTTTAGGAGACTGCAGCAACCTCGGAAACTCTTGTCCAGGTGGGACCTATTGTGATCCTCCTCCAACGTCTCCTCCAACATTCAAACTTATCAGTGAATAAAACTGAGAAGATTGTCAATTATTCATATTCATTTCGCTTTGAATCATCTACAAACGATAGCTGAAGTTAGCCATCTAATTTGTTTCTTTTTGTTCTCCAACAAGCCACCCATCAGTAAACGGATGTGTTCAAATAGTTGCATATAAGCGATTAATTATTGAACGCCCGCACGAACGGATTCCGTCGGCAATGCCTTCGCGTTAAATCGCATCAATAAGAAGAAATTCATGATGTCGATGGTTCCAGAGTTACCCATACCAAACACCAACCGCTCCAAAATCGACTCCATCATGTAAAAGAAACCGAGGTGACGTGGGTCGCACGCGAGGGGAAATTATCACCTGATCAACGACAACGAAGCTGTTCTTCGGCCTTAACCAAAGCTTGCTTAGGATTAGGATTCGATCGGATTCGATTAGGATTCGATCGGAGAACTTCCGACTCGGGATGGACACCGTTCTCTTCCGACTGCTTTCACGTGTTTAAACGTTAGCATGGATGCTTTTGCTGGAATCTTTGGGAATCCTCCAGAGGATGAACTTAACATTCGCGTACGATAAATTTATGATTTAATCCAACCAATGCTTGCCAAATATATAGGAAATAAAATAATCTTGAAATGTGTATTCACAGGAGTTGCGAAGTACAGTAAATTAAGCGTACAATAAGGACCACATGCCAAGAGACTTATTGTGAAAAAAAAACTATGAACAGGAAATACCGTTGTTCATGATGCCTCGAAAACCTCGAAGGTATGAGCATTCCCTTCTCTACAGAACCAGGATGGCTTGTGGCCATCAGACAGATTTTTACCAGTTTACGGACAAGAAGCATGGCAGTGGCGAATGGGCGTGTCCTGGGGCCCATTTCATGGAATTTACAAGCTCTACAAGTTACAAGTTACTAGTAATTACAAGGGTCGTGTCGTAGTTGTACGAAAGGCCAGCGGGACCAGCTGGAAGAGTTAAACAAGGAGACACGACCCTTGCAATTACTTGTAACTTGTAACTTGTAGAGCTTGTAAATTCCATGAAACAGGCCCCTGGTGGTCACTTCAGAATCCATTCCGGACACAGCCTTTCTCCATCACCAAGTGGAACCTTCCATCGCTGTACAACGAACAATTTGTTTCAAGCATTCCTTCCATTTAAATATAATATAATAAAAAAACAGTATTCCCCTTGTTTTGCCGCAACAAAAGAAATGAATTCATTTCGCTGAGAATTGCTCTTTCTTTTCCTATTACGATGTTTTCGGCGTTAAAAAATGAATCAAGTTGAACAATTTCAAAGTGAGTGTACGAATGGGTATAAAAGGGTTTCTCTCGTAAGCGTTTTCACATCTTCGGTGAAAAAAAACTCATGTCCAAACATCTGGATTTCAGCGTGGGAAGCGATGATAATTTTGAGGAAAGAGCTCATATTCAAGGTAACGGATTTCGATTAGGGTGGGTTCATATTTACAGAGAAGAAGCTGAATGCAGCAGGAAGAGTCGTGTCAACATGTTCGCGGATGTATTTGCGCGGGGATCCTTGGATGCCAAGATGGAGAGATGTGGAGGTTAGAGGACTACTGCGACGTGTGCTGGGAATGCCATGACAGGAGACCCCACATTCGACGATGCAACCCATGACTCCAATTCCATCAGCGGCTCAAGCGATGTTCCCCTCTCCAGGGTCCATCTCAATGCTTTCCCTACCACTGCTTCGGTGAACGGAATTTAGCGGTCCTCATACGCGTTATTAAGTACCAGGTGGAAAAAAAAAAAATTTAACCGCCGAGACTGCTACTTGGCGTTATTTTTCCCAGATTCATGACTTCTTCGACCTTAGTATCGTCGTCTGGATCTTCTCTGTTTAATGTGGGAGACATTACTGTACTGAATTCATGGGATGAGTTGAGATTGAAGTGGTGGTTTACAGTGGCTGATCGATTTGGTGGAATACGGAGATATCTCATCCAGACATCCTTAAATATACATGATGGCGGCTAGCTTGTACGTCATGCAACCTAACGATAACATTATTATTTTGACATAATATATCTAGGAATGGAGATTGTCAACCGCAAAAAAAAAACTAAAAAAGATTTTTAAAAAGTGAAGAAAATTGGAAGGGAAATAAAATTCTGCTGCAGCTTGTCCCACGTGTTCTTTCATTTCTGCAAAATATAATTTGCAAGACATGTAAATTTCGATGCAAATTTCTCCGCACAAAGTTTTTTGTTTACAAATGGAAAAAAATCGCACACGTGCGTCATCGGAAACAAATTTCGATGGAGAACTCAGGAATTGTCTCAATTTCAAGAAAATTCGTTCTATTAACCGGAGGATGGAGAGATATACCGTTCCCTGGGAGTGGGATCCGAATTTGAAAATATATGGAAGGAATCGTGTTTCTTGAATTGGTCGCTAAGGGAAATCGACACATTTCCTCAATTCATCATGAGGCAAGCTCTCCGGATATCACTGACATCATAATTCTGGAGAATTTGCCATTCCGTACCTTCGAACACTTCCACCGATGAATTTTCATATCCTCCAACAGCGTACAAGTTTCCGTTCCAAGTTACGAGTCCGTGATGAGACCGTCCCTCCTTCATGCTCGGCAATTCCCGCCACGAATTTCTTCTCCTATCGTACAAGAACGCCTCCTTTTTATCTTCGAGTTCATATCCCCCGGCCAAGACGAGGTCATCCTCTCGAGGCGAGAGAGCATGGTAAGATCTCTGCTCGGGGAGCTGAGCCAACTCTTCCCATCGGGACGTGCGCACGTCCAAACGCTCGTGCTTATTACCGTTCGGATATCCTCCAACGACGTGAAGGCAAGAGTCGTGATAACACGCTCCTGCGCCCCACCGGTCGTACCTCATGTCGCCGAGTCGTACCCATTCCCATGATTCGACCGAAAAGCGAAATACACTTTTTATTTTTTCGTTCTCTTCATTCAAACCACCGCAGGTGAAGATCGATCCGGGGGAGACTGCAGTCGCCTGTGAATAAATGTACTCGGTCGGCTGTGGCCCTTCCTTCCATTCTCCCTCCTCGACGTCGAAGATCTTCGTCTCACCCTCGCCCGTCACAAACAGTAGTCGGTCCATTCCTCCAAAGGCACAATCGGCACTCAAGGGATTGCGAGTTATTTCATAAATTTCCCAACTATACGGATCGATGCTATAGATCTGCCCGTTGGGCTTCATGCACCAAATGGAATCTGGTGTCTCTCGCGGTCTGGTTTTCTCCTCGGGCACGGTATGGCGGTGATCGTCCCTTGCATCTGTGATGATACTGACGCACCTCGAATCCCGAGAGATGATTGGGTCCTTCAACAGCACCGATTTCAGGTATTCGTAGGGCAGGAGAGGGAGACGAATTTTGTCCAGGATATCCGGTAAATGATGTTTCCGGTTCGAATCGTGATCCAACCATTTCCGTGTCGCCTCGTACAAACCCTTTTCCGAAGAAACTCCCAAGTCGTCTCGATCCAAGACCGAAGACAGCGTCTCGAATGAGATACTTAGAAACTCCCGCGTCTGCACGATGTATTTGAGACGGCGAGAAATTTCTGCAAGAGCGGCTTCCCGCAAGTCTTGGCATTCGTATCGCTCGGCGATTTGGAGGATACGGATCGCATTCTTCGGGTTCAGGAACTTCTTAATAGTCGGGATGACCTTTTGCCCCAAACGTTTCATCCCTAGAACGTGCGCCTCTCGAAAAGTAGCAATCGCCCCTTCCTCCCCTTCCACTTCCATTCGCGTTCCGTGAATAAAATCCCAGACCGGCTTGAATCCGATTTTTGTGAATCCTTCGAGTCTCATCTCCCTCTGGGAGACGTCTTCGGTCGAGAACATTTGTCGAAAATAGGGGGAGACGGCTGCGAGGATGCCCTTACAGGAATTGAACTTCCCTCCTTCGACGAGGATGATGACGTCACACCAGGACGATCCGGTCTGGAAGGAATCGGAGATTTCCTTCGCAAGGCCATTATGATCGTCCATGTCTTTCTCGATCACTATGGTTATCTTCTTCGAGGCCATGAACGCCATTTTAAAGATGGGAGAGGACTACCTCGCGATGAATCGCTTCGACTGATCTCACCGAATCGCAGCGATATCACTGATCAACTTCCGGATGAAATGGGATCGCGTCAGCAAGAGAAGCATCACGTTCCTGGCTCTTCGCTCACCGATAGCACAAGTTTATCGGAGAGAATGCTAGATAATGATGTCACTTTTGGGACCGAAAAAAAAAGAAGAGATTTTTTTTTTTTTTTTTTTTTTTTTACCAGACAGGAGAAACGTTCTTCTGCTTTTCCTGTGACTCAGAAATGAGTGAAAATGAGTTTTCTCATCGATATGGTATGGATTCCCAGAAATTAAAGGCACACGTCCCGCATGTGGAAAGGGCAACGCCGGAATGAGCTTCCGAAGGAAATGATGCGTAAAGAGCAGTTGGATGCGTCTTCGTATTCGAAATTCTGGAATCCTCATTTTCATGGGAGTGCCGAAGGAAGAGTGGCGTTTTTGGGCAGCGACTGTTTTTTTTTGGCATCTGATGCTTCACTTGCATCGACGCAAGATTCGGTCCGACTTCAGGTTTAAATGTCCAGTATGTGAGGTTTTAGCGAGCTCGAAGAGTTCAGAGTCATTCCAACTCCTTTTACGCATACAAGCGGACAGGAAATTGAGGCCTGGGAATCTCCATGCGGCCTTGAAAGATTCCGTTCCGTGAAGTCATCCACGGGCTGTTGTTATGGACGAGACCTGAAGAGTGGTCCGTCTCTTTGCCTATCTCTTCTTTCGTGTTATTCTTCGATAAGAGGAAAAACCGAGGAGGTTTTATTTCACGCCATGTTCCTCTGCGAAATAGTGGAAGAGGAGGAGTCACATAAATTGACTACCAACCCAAGGAACATGTTTACGTAAACAAGATATCAATTTCTTGCAAACCATGTAA